GTGTGTCTCACTCATTAACAACACAGAGCAACAAGAACGTTGTCTACAGTAGCCATGAACTCGCATGTATTCTCTTATTTGAGGAGGGGGTGGATGCCTGGACCACCCGAATAGGTTAAGGGGCCTTTGGCTTTTCTTGTTGCCGTGGGGGGGGGGTGCGGTGCCCCCACAAATAGAATCAAATTCTGTGGGAAACACTGAGGTGGTGATATTTAGTTTAGTCTATTTGTTGATGGTGTCGTGGACAGTCCCCGTTGATCAACTATCACTAAACACAGTAAATGGAGCATTAGCTTTAGCCAACATGCTAATTTCCAGCTAATAATAGACACCTTTTAAAAATCAAAATACATCAACAGCATCAGTTATAAAGAAAGGGTGAAAGTCAAGTAGATAAAAGAGAACAAGATGACATTAAATACGGTTTATTACGGTGATAACTATGAGATAAAAAGTCAATTGCAAGATGATGTTCTTCACAGAGTTCAGTCTTATAGAGTGGTGCATGAATGAGTCCTAAAACCAGGAAGTGAGTCAGCATTTCTCCACTTCCTGTTCCGTCGTCTCAGAGCCAATGGGATCTCTCCATAGGAGTTAGGAAACTATCTGTAAATAAGGTCTGAGGTTGAGACACATTGAAGAGACGGATCACGTTTTGTTCTAGGACATTAAATCCATCAGCAGTGACCCCACTAGTGATTTCTGAAGAGTTGACGTGTCTGAAAAACGATGGTTGTTACCAAGTGGCTGAATAGGACTACAGAAGTCGTGGAGGCCGTTGTACGTCATTACGCCGAACACGTAAACACTCCTCTAAGTTAGTTTCTGTTCTGCTTGAAAGCAAGTACCTGCCTCCTGCAAAGTGTTCAAACAAACGCTTCAACTCGTTCCATTTAGAATCTGTATGTTTGAGTATGGATCTGAAGTTGGCGTGACGTTGAAGTCGTGCTGCTGGACTCGGCTGTAGTTCCTTTGTAGCATAACGTTAGCATTTAGCTTCTGGCCATTAGATTTATGATTAGAACATTATAAAAGTAGGGTAGACATGTGGAGATGATCCGGCTGCTTTTAGTGGAGGGAACCAGCAGCTTCCTTCAGGGTGAACACGTCCTCCCTGCGCTGCGCTATGGCCTGTGGGATGAAACTGAGGTGGTTTTAGTCCGGATGTGGCATGAGGGTCAGAGATGACACAAGATGGCTGCTTCTCCTCCTTTTAGGTTTTCATATTTCGTTGGATTCTCTCCTCTTACCACCTCGTGTTAAACTGTCACATGATGTTGCTGCATGTCTCCGTGAAGGTCTTAGATCTGAAGGGAATCTCAGTGTTATTGTGTGTTGTTAAAGCACTCTGAGCGGCTGAACATGTGCTCTATAAACGTACCTTTCTATTCCCTGTTCTTCATCCTCCTCTCCTCCTCTCCTCTCCTCTTCCTCTCCTCTCCTCTCCTCTCCTCTCCTCCTCCTCTCCTCCTCTCATCCTCTCCTCCGTGCGTCTGCAGCTCTTCAATGTGAACGAGAAGCCACAGCACACAGAGGAGGAAGTGGGAGCGTTCACCAAACTCATCGAGGTCATGGGCTTCACCGGACCCCTCAAATACAACAAATGGGTGAGGAGACATGGAGGGGAAGAAGGGGGGAGGAGACATGGAGGGGAAGGGGGGAGGAGACATGGAGGGGAAGGGGGGAGGAGACATGGAGGGGAAGGGGGGAGGAGACATGGAGGGGGAGGAGACATGGAGGGGAAGAAGGGGGGAGGAGACATGGAGGGGAAGAAGGGGGGAGGAGACATGGAGGGGAAGAAGGGAGGAAACATGGAGGGGAAGGGGGGAGGAGACATGGAGGGGAAGGGGGGAGGAAACATGGAGGGGAAGGGGTGAAGAGACATGGAGGGTGTCACTACCCGATCCGTCCACCTGCCCGATCTGTACTGCGCATGTGCGAGATGGTCCGCCATATTGGACAACTACATACGGCAACTCTACTAGGACACTTGACACAGTGGCTTTTGGCAAAGCAGAAAAAGAACCGAGAGAGATGAGTTATTATTACAACAACGTGACTTCACTATTATTGAACAACTCTTTTTATTGGGTTCTTTTATTTGGGGTTAAGTACATTGTTAGAATAAGTGAGACATGGATTTAACTTCTGTTAGACAGCTGTCATACTGAATAAATATTTACTGTGAATGTATGCAAACATTTATAGCATATAGCTGTCTAACAGAAGTTAAATCCATTTCTCACTTATTCTGACAATGTATTTAACCCCAAATAAAAGAACCCAATAAAAATAGTTGTTAAATAATAGTGAAGTCACGTTGTAATAACAATAACTCATCTCTCTCGGTTTTTTGAGTTTTCTTTGTGTGCTTTGCCAAAAGCCACTGTGTCAAGTGTCCTAGTTGGGTTGCCGTACGGAGTTGTGCAATATGGCGGACCATCTCGCACATGCGCAGTACAGATCGGGCAGGTGGACGGATCGGGTAGTGACAGAGGGGAAGGGGGGAGGAAACATGGAGGGGAAGGGGGGAGGAGACATGGAGGGGAAGGGGGGAGGAAACATGGAGGGGAAGAAGGGAGGAAACATGGAGGGGAAGAAGGGAGGAAACATGGAGGGGAAGAAGGGAGGAGACATGGAGGGGAAGAAGGGAGGAGACATGGAGGGGAAGAAGGGAGGAGACATGGAGGGGAAGAAGGGAGGAGACATGGAGGGGAAGAAGGGAGGAGACATGGAGGGGAAGAAGGGAGGAGACATGGAGGGGGAGGAGACATGGAGGGGAAGGGGGGAGGAAACATGGAGGGGAAGAAGGGAGGAGACATGGAGGGGAAGGGGGGAGGAAACATGGAGGGGAAGGGGGGAGGAAACATGGAGGGGAAGGGGTGAGGAGACATGGAGGGAAAGAAGGGAGGAGACATGGAGGGGAAGGGGGGAGGAGACATGGAGGGGAAGGGGGGGAGGAACATGGAGGGGAAGAAGGGAGGAGACATGGAGGGGAAGGAGGGAGGGAGACATGGAGGGGAAGGAGGGAGGAAACATGGAGGGGAAGGAGGGAGGAAACATGGAGGGGAAGAAGGGAGGAGACATGGAGGGGAAAGAGGGAGGAAACATGGAGGGGAAGAAGGGAGGAGACATGGAGGGGGAGGGGAGACATGGAGGGGGAGGAGACATGGAGGGGAAGGGGGGAGGAAACATGGAGGGGAAGGAGGGAGGAAACATGGAGGGGAAGGAGGGAGGAGACATGGAGGGGAAGGGGGGAGGAGACATGGAGGGGAAGGGGGGAGGAAACATGGAGGGGAAGGAGGGAGGAAACATGGAGGGGAAGGAGGGAGGAGACATGGAGGGGAAGGAGGGGAAGGAGGGAGGAAACATGGAGGGGAAGAAGGGAGGAGACATGGAGGGGAAGAAGGGAGGAGACATGGAGGGGAAGAAGGGAGGAGACATGGAGGGGAAGGAGAGAGGAAACATGGAGGGGAAGAAGGGAGGAGACATGGAGGGGAAAGAGGGAGGAAACATGGAGGGGAAGAAGGGAGGAGACATGGAGGGGGAGGAGACATGGAGGGGAAGAAGGGAGGAGACATGGAGGGGGAGGAGACATGGAGGGGAAGGGGGGAGGAAACATGGAGGGAAGGAGGGAGGAAACATGGAGGGGAAGGAGGGAGGAGACATGGAGGGGAAGGGGGGGGGAGGAGACATGGAGGGGAGGGAAGGGGGGGGAAAAACATGGAGGGGAAGGAGGGAGGAAACATGGAGGGGAAGGAGGGAGGAGACATGGAGGGGAAGGAGGGGAAGGAGGGAGGAAACATGGAGGGGAAGAAGGGAGGAGACATGGAGGGGAAGAAGGGAGGAGACATGGAGGGGAAGAAGGAGGGAGAGACTGGAGGGGAAGAAGGGAGGAGACATGGAGGGGAAGGGGGGAGGAGACATGGAGGGGAAGAAGGGAGGAGACATGGAGGGAAGGGGGAGGAGACATGGAGGGGAAGGGGGGGAGGAGGACAGGAGGGGAAGGGGGGAGGAGACATGGAGGGGAAGGGGGGAGGAGACAGGGAGGGGAAGAAGGGAGGAAACATGGAGGGGGAGGAAACATGGAGGGGAAGAAGGGAGGAGACAGGGAGGGAAAGACGAAAGAAGGGAGGAAAACATAGGGGGGGAAAGAAGGGGGGAGGAGACATGGAGGGGAAGAAGGGAGGAGACATGGAGGGGAAGAAGGGAGGAAAATGGAGGGGAAGAAGGGAGGAGACATGGAGGGGAAGAAGGGAGGAGACATGGAGGGGAAGAAGGGAGGAGACATGGAGGGGAAAGAGCAGGGAGGAAAATGGAGGGGAAGGTGGGAGGGAAACAGGAGGGGAAAGAAGGGAGGAGACGAGGCGAATGGGGAAGAAGGGAGGAGACATGGAGGGGAAGAAGGGGGGAAACATGGAGGGGAAGAAGGGATGAGACGATGGGAGGGGAAGAAGGGAGGAGACATGGAGGGGAAGAAGGAGGAAGGAGGGGAAAATGGAGGGGAAGGGGGAGGAAACATGGAGGGGAAGAAGGGAGGAGACATGGAGGGGAAGAGGGGAGGAGACATGGAGGGGAAGGGGGGAGGAGACATGGGAGGGGAAGAAGGGAGGAGACATGGAGGCGAAGGGGGGAGGAGACATGGAGGGGAAGGGGGGAGGAAACATGGAGGGGAAGAAGGGAGGAGACATGGAGGGGAAGGAGGGAGGAGACATGGAGGGGAAGGAGGGAGGAGACATGGAGGGGGAAGGGGAGGGGAGAGACATGGAGGGAAGAAGGGAGGAGACATGGTATTGATACTGATATTATCTGCCTCTCTTGTCTTCACAGAAAATCAAGATAGCTGCGTTGCGCATGTACACGTGCTGCGTAGAGAGAGTCAACTACGACGAGTTCTTCGACAGTGAGTCTTGAAACGTTTTGGAACAAATAAACTTTCAGATCTTAGAATCTTACAAACGTCTACAACACGTCCACGTGAGAGTTTCAACGCTGTGTGTGTGTTTCAGAGTGCTCCCTGCCTGACACAATGAACTCCTGGTTCTTAGTTGCACAGCTACATATATGGTGAGTTGCGCACACACACACACACACACACACACACACAGTTATGTTGGCTATTGTTTCCTTCTGTGATGTCCTGGTGTCCTCTGCAGGATGTGTATGGTGCGGATGCGTCAGGAGGGCAGAGAGGGGAAGTACATGTGTCGCTGGCTGGTGCACTCCATGTGGGAGGACGTGGAGCAGAGGAGCAAAATCATGGGGGTAAGATCTGTGTGTGAACGTGATGCAGCTTCAGAGAGGATGCAGATATAAAAACACAAAGGTTCCTCGTGAAGAAACATCTCCAGCACCTTGAGGAGACATGCAGCGTTTAGAGAACATCCAGCACCTTGAGGAGACATGCAGCGTTTAGAGAACATCCAGCACCTTGAGGAGACATGCAGCGTTTAGAGAACATTCAGCACCTTGAGGAGACATGCAGCGTTTAGAGAACATTCAGCACCTTGAGGAGACATGCAGCGTTTAGAGAACATTCAGCACCTTGAGGAGACATGCAGCGTTTACTGAAAGCTCCAGAAACCAAACGCTGAAGAAGCTCAAAACACAACGGTGTGCGTCACTCTTTAGTGTCCCCTGGTCTCCCAGCTGTGTGCGTCACTCTTAGTGTCCCTGGTCTCCCAGCTGTGTGCGTCACTCTTTAGTGTCCCCTGGTCTCCCAGCTGTGTGCGTCACTCTTTAGTGTCCCCTGGTCTCCCAGCTGTGTGCGTCACTCTTTAGTGTCCCCTGGTCTCCCAGCTGTGTGCGTCACTCTTTAGTGTCCCCTGGTCTCCCAGCTGTGTGCGTCACTCTTTAGTGTCCCCTGGTCTCTCAGCTGTGTGCATCACTCTTTAGTGTCCCCTGGTCTCCCAGCTGTGTGCGTCACTCTTTAGTGTCCCCTGGTCTCCCAGCTGTGTGCGTCACTCTTTAGTGTCCCCTGGTCTCCCAGCTGTGTGCGTCACTCTTTAGTGTCCCTGGTCTCCCAGTTGTGTGCGTCACTCTTTAGGTCCCCTGGTCTCCCAGCTGTGTGCGTCACTCTTTAGTGTCCCCTGGTCTCCCAGCTGTGTGCGTCACTCTTTAGGTCCCCTGGTCTCTCAGCTGTGTGCGTCACTCTTTAGTGTCCCCTGGTCTCCCAGCTGTGTGCGTCACTCTTTAGTGTCCCCTGGTCTCCCAGCTGTGTGCGTCACTCTTTAGTGTCCCCTGGTCTCCCAGCTGTGTGCGTCACTCTTTAGTGTCCCCTGGTCTCCCAGCTGTGTGCGTCACTCACTCTTTAGTGTCCCCTGGTCTCCCAGCTGTGTGCGTCACTCTTTAGTGTCCCCTGGTCTCCCAGCTGTGTGCGTCACTCTTTAGTGTCCCCTGGTCTCCCAGCTGTGTGCGGCACTCTTTAGTGTCCCCTGGTCTCCCAGCTGTGTGCGTCACTCTTTAGTGTCCCCTGGTCTCCGTTGTGTTTTGAGCTTCTTGCAGCGTTTGGTTTCTGCGCATGTGTCTCCTACATTTCAGTAGCTTGAGACAAAAATATTGTTTGCAAAATATTATTTTGTATCTTTTAGTTATTCACTATTACTCAGCTAGTAGCAGGTGATCAGCGAGGCATCTTTTAAAATGTGTGTGTTTACAGCTTCACAGTAATAATAAAGTCATTTAGCAGGATTGAACTTAGATCATATGACAGCATCTGCATTATGAACACATGTCGTACACACAGTATATTAACCACACCTACTACACACACACACACACACACACGTCCTGATGCACAGCATACCGACACATAGGGTCAGTATATCTAAACATAGCAGCGCAGTCTGATGTCTATATTCCAGGAACACCATGTGACTATTTCCAACACACACACACACACACACACACACACACACACACACACACACACACACACAGCAGTGATTGGAGCTGCTCTCAGGTTTCATGCTAATTGTGTTAGCAGCAGTAAAAACATTGCTCATTTTCTCCATGTTCATAATTCCTGTTGGACCAGATGTAACACACACCGCTCTGCTGAGTGTGTGTGTGCTGAGGAACACACACTTTACTCTGTTTGTGTGCAGCGTTGTTGTTCGAAAAAACATGTTATATATATTATCATATTTGCATTAACTGCTAGGAGCATGCTGTTGAAAAGTAATCAGTTCATGTCTACTTCTTGTTTTGCTGAACACTTGAGTCTGATTGGTCGTTGTTTATTCCAAGGTGTGTTATTTCTCTATATCAGACTGCTGCTTTGAAAAAATGTCAATCTCCAAACACAGCGAGGGGACTATTTGATTTAGACACACAGCTGGGAGACCAGGGGACACCAAAGAGTGACGCACACAGCTGGGAGACCAGGGGACACTAAAGAGTGACGCACACAGCTGGGAGACCAGGGGACACTAAAGAGTGACGCACACAGCTGGGAGACCAGGGGACACTAAAGAGTGACGCACACAGCTGGGAGACCAGGGGACACTAAAGAGTGACGCACACAGCTGGGAGACCAGGGGACACTAAAGAGTGACGCACACAGCTGGGAGACCAGGGGACACTAAAGAGTGACGCACACAGCTGGGAGACCAGGGGACACTAAAGAGTGACGCACACAGCTGGGAGACCAGGGGACACTAAAGAGTGACGCACACAGCTGGGAGACCAGGGGACACTAAAGAGTGACGCACACAGCTGGGAGACCAGGGGACACTAAAGAGTGACGCACACAGCTGTTTGTAATCAACATGTAGTGAAAAGTAGTTGATTTCTTTTAGTTAAATGTGTAAATAATACATGATGAAAAACAAAGCCGGTCATTATCACCCGAGGACTTGAACGTATCAGCAGAGCGTTTAATTCTGACGTTCATGGTTTCCAGAGGATAGACCCTGAAGCTTTTATTGATCCTCTGACTTTTACTTTGGTGCCACCATGAAGTTGAATTTTCCCGTAATAACTCAGTATTTAACGAGTTTCTCTTCATATTGTTTCTGTAGGTCGATTCCAGCCACAGAAAGGAGGGGATGAGGTCGATGACGGAGACGTTTTACGCTGCAATATTTGGATATGATGAGGTGAGAAATCTGAATAATCAGAATATTGTATTTATTGGTTCTATTGTAAATGGACTGGACTTCTAAATCTCTTTATCAGGTATTTTCGAATCCTCAAAGCTCTTTAAATACTACGAGTCATTCATGCAGAGGCACCACTATCAGCACTAGAATATATAACAACAACAAATATGTGTATATTACAATGTGTACAGTGTACACCAAAGTTTATATCGTAATATGAATTACTTCAATAGGAACATTTGAACTTAATTTGATGTTTATACAAATAACTTAAAAAAAAAATTATTGCACATTCTTACTTTAACGTGCTTATATATATATATATATATATATGTTTATATATATATATATTAATATTATATTTCTCAATAATAATCAGGGTTTTTTCTAGAAAATTATAGTATTTATTCGGAGCTGTCTCTGCCGTCTGACGCTCTGTTTGATTCTCATATTTCTGGAGTAATTATACAGTTTTTGACGAACACAAATATTGTTTTCTTGCATCACGTTAACATTTTGAGGGGGAAATCTGCATTTCGCAGCGTCCCTTATACCTACACCTGGGGTCGGAAACCTTTTTGATATCAAGTGCCATTCAAAAACAATTATTTTATCAGCGTGCCGACGATTGTGAATTATCAACAGGAGGGCGGGGGAGCCTCGCTGCGGGGAAGCAGTGTGTGGACATGTCAGCGCAACTTACATGATGCCGAATTTAACAAACACATTTAAATAATTGGTTTAAACGGCATAATAATAATGACGACCGTCCGTTCTGTGATTCTCCAGAACACACAGATGGCCAGTCCGCCCCTGTGTAGCATGTTACTTCAATGAGAGATGAGCAGATCTCCACTGGGCTTTCAACTAAAGACACTGCCACGCAAAAACTGTGGCATGTGTACAGCTCCTTATGGGTAATGCAATTTGTGAAGTGCTTTCCTCTGTGGTGAAACGATCAGCCCTGCACCACGGAGGAAAGCGGCAGAAAGTCGCCTGGAGTTAAAGAGAGCGGGGCTGCGCTGCGTGCATGGCTTTCATGGCAGGTAACGGGGAGACGCGCTCTGGCGGCGGTCTCGTTCAGGATCGGAAAATACAATTTAAATATTTTGCACACTTATTCCACTTATTCCTCGTGTGCCACTGGTTACGGTGCCGCTTGCCAATGGTGGCACGTGTGCCAGGGGTTGCCGACCCCTGCCCTATTACCGGTAGGGATGCCAGAAACTGACCATGATCAAATTCGAAAATCGGAGAGCCCTGGCGAATATTAATCGATTATTCGCCACCGCCGCGTAAATAATAATAAAAAAATATATATGTAAAATCGAATTTTAAAATAATTTTCGGTTATGGAGACTGTAACGAATATTCGAAAAATTGTGTGTGCAGGGCGTGCTGTCTGATGACTGCGTGCTGGCTGCAGCTCTGTGGAGGAATCTGTTCAGTAAAGAGTGTGAAGACCCCAAACAGCTGGAGCTCATGGTGGAGTACGTGCGCAAACAGGTGAGTGCAGCCGCTCAGAACCAATCAGACGCCTGGACTGTAGTGTGTCCATTTGATGTTGTTTTTATTTACCTCCACGCCAAGTCGTTTCAGAGGGAAATACTGTGTTTTTAAAGAGGCCCTATTCTGCTTTTTAGTGGCGTTCCCTCTCCTCGGGGTGTGGGGTTAGTGCATGTAAATGGTCTGTGATTTGCATATTCCACAAATGCGATTATTATATTTTGATTAATTGTGCAGCCCCGGTTCATACATACACACAGACGGAGGAATTAAGTTGTAAAATAGGAGCAAATATAGAGCTGTTTAATAAAAGTATTAGAAAAACCTTTAAAAAAATTGAGAAATGTCATCTTTCGTTAGCTTAGAGGCAACACACACACACACACACACACACACACACACACACACACACACACACACACACACCTGTGTTAAAGGTCATGGAAGCAGTGTCCGACTCAATCAGCCAACAAACTGTGTGTGTGAGTTTAGAGTGTTGCATCAGAAAACAAACAAATGACACACTTCCCTGAATGTGGAAGTGTGTGTACTTTAACGTAACACACACACACACAAACACACACACACACTTTTGGTCACGGTAATTCACTGAGGAGAAGGAAAACACAGTTTCTTTAAATTATGTGCACATTTCTCAGCTAAATGTGAAGAGGACTGTATTTAAATATGTTGAGGCTGCCATGCCATGAAAACCTTTTCCAGGAACGTTTAAACACACACACACACACACACACACACACACACACACACACACCGTATGCCATCTGGAATAACCGGGGGTTAAGTTTCTTGCCCAACTACGCATCAACATGTTGCAAATATTCGTAGTGGCCAAACTGCGGTACTACAACTTCCGTGTCAGTCCGTAACGTCACTGGGCCCAAAATAATTGTTCCCATTCACTTGCATCAAGAAATAGACATCAGTAAATCAGCAGACCTTTTTTTTTTTAAAGCTTAATCAACTTCCCATTACAAACACTTAAAAAAAAAGCGGTTATTTAATTCATTAAAAGACTTATTTTTTCACCCCTCTAATCACTTGAATGAGCTGTGACTTGCACTGGAGGCGGGGCTTAAAGCAAGGAGGTGTGGCTTAACAGATAGAAGGGCGGGGCTTTAGGAAAACACAAGTGTGCATCCTTGACCAATAGGCTCCATAATCAGATTTCTTGTATGTCCGTAGTGGCCAAACGGTGGTACTACAACTTCGGATACGTAATTTTTTTCGACACTGTTGTACCATTGACTTGCACTGGGAGGGAGACGTCTGTAACTCGGCTGGTCCTATTTTTTTAAGCTTAATCCACTTCCCACTTAAGTAGCCATCATTTAAATCATTAAAAGAGTACATTTTTCACCCCTCTAATCACTTGAATGAGGCGCATTGGAGGCGGGCCTTAAAACAAGGAGGTGGGGCTTAACCGATAGTAGGGCGGGGCTTAAGGGAAATGCAATTGTTAATCCTTGACCAACAGGCCCCTGAATCAGATTTCGGGAATGTCCGGAGTGAAGATCTTCACATCTGATCTGAGGGGAATTTCTTGTTGTGTATTTTGAACTTGTGATGTGTTGTAAAGCACTTTGAGCTACACGTGAAGTATGAAAAGTGCTATAATATTAAATATAAATATGATTATAATGTGTGCAGATGCAGTTCATCGACGCTCTGGACGGGGAGGACCTGATGCTGTCGGGGGAGGTGAAGTGGCGCCCCCTGCTGGAGGAAAACGCTCAGAGCATCCTGAAGGTGGCCACGCCCACTTATAACGACACAGGGCTGTGACTTCCTGTTTCCTCCACTTCTTCTTCTGTCCTCGTGTAACCTCTCTTCCTCCTCGGTCACATAAGGATTTTAAATGTGTCGCTTCTTATCCTCTTACTTGTTTGTAGAGACTATGTTTTATCTCAGCGTGAAAAAAACAAGGAAGCATCATCGTTCGACCTCTTTGTTTTTCCGCTCCCTCTCTGCAGACACACACACACACACACACACACACACACACACACACAGGAAAACAAGACCTATTTATATTTTTCTTGTTTTCTCTACCGTATATTTATCAAATATTTTGTATACTTCCATGTTTACACCCTACTGAAGCGTCACCCTGCGTTAAATAAGCTTTCACTTTGAATCGGAGACGTTAAAGGAATGGTTTCTGGGCCGACAAAATGTCCGCCAATGGAGCTTCTTTATTGCAATCACAGGCTGTAGGTATTTTTCTCATCATGCATCATGACAGGAAGCAAACACTCATCACTGCATTTAAAAACAATGAGGTTTTGTTTTTCAAAAGTGAATAAATAAAATGTTATATGGATATAAAAACTGATGTGTGGTTTTTTTTTTTTACTAGTTATTTTTCTATGCTTTGAAGCCAGTGAGCCTAGCGTTCTAGCTCTCACTTTCCAAGTCAAACATTTTAAAAGCAAAGTTGAATATTTAATGTTTAAAGGGAGAGGTGTCTTAAGGCCCCGTCCACACGGAAACGAAAACGAACCGAATTCGATATCAAAAAAGTCTTCCGTCCACACGAGACCGCTCGACCCGCTGGAGGCGCTGTAGTACATATGCCGGGCCTGTAGGTGGCGCTGTACTTCCGCCACAAAATACACCAAAAGCAGCGGATAAGACCTCCCGAGCATGGTTGCCATGGCTACCCTTCTGTTTATTCTCCGCGGTGGATTTAGTAACATGTAGTTCTCCTTGTCCACTTGTTGCTGATGGTTGTGGTCGAGGAGCTGTAGATGTTGCACTAACATCTGTAGCATGGTCAGTAGCGTCTGGAGCACGAACGCAACCCTGTGATCCGCCATTGTTGTTGTTGTTGGCGAAACACATCAGGCTTGTTTGAGACGAGCTGCGGCTCGCCTCGAAAGTAGGCGAGAATAGCCGATGGCAGCCGGGGGAGGTCTCAAAAAGCTCGCCTGAAGTCGGACAGCTCGGAGTCGGCTTCTTCTTCTTCTTCTTCTTCTTCTCTCGGTTTTTTGGAGGATTGCAAACAGCTTTAAGGTGCATAGCATACTGCCACCTCCGGAGTCGGCTTGACTCGGTTTGCATTTATAAAGAATGCACAAATGTGTTTAATCGTTAATGTCAGATATGTACTCAGTAAATACATTTGTTCCTGCTCAAGATTAGATTAAACTTTATTGTTATTGCACAGATTACAGGTACTGAGACAACGAAATGCAGTTTAGCTTCTAACCAGGAGTGCAACAAGCAGTAAAGTGAAAAGTAATGTACACAATCTACAGAATGAAATATAGAATGAATTGAATGATGAATAAACAGTGAGGGGTATGAATACACTATACACACAGTCGCCTAGCCTAGTATGAACAGTGTGTTGTATGAATATGCTAAGATATATAAAGTATGACAACGGTAAGCAGTGCAAGTATAGTATACAAATATATAGATATTAATGTAATGATGATAAACATTGTGGAACAATGATGAAAAATGTGAATGGAAGTGGCGACGTGAAACTGACACAAAACAACACACTTTAGCCGAGCCAATTGGAGAGCTTCATCTCCAGCACGGGGTAAAAACGACCAATGAGCGCTCAGCTCCAGATACCAGCGAGTCGTTTCCCATCAAGCATTTCGCTTCCGCAGCTCGTGGAGAGAAACTGCGCCGCCTCGCTCTCAAGGCTGCCGGCGTCTTTGTCCCGCGAGATTTCAACGTCTCATGCCGTCGAGCCTTCAGAGCAAGTCGGACAAACTTATTAACCATCATGCAACGCACGAGCAAGACGGCGATCGCAATTGCGCAGGTCTGCGTCGGTCTCGCTCACCTCAAACAAGCCTATCGGCAATGACGCGGGGTGAGCAGGAGAGGCGGGGCTATGGCTTCATCGTTATCAGGAAATGATCGTATAGGGCGCGTACACACGGAGCCGCTTCGTCCGCAGATCTACCCACCTTGGGAGCCGTTGTCCATATCCGCGTTTCCGTGTGGACGAACCGTCTATACGATAGAGAACTGTAGCGGATACAACCCGTTTGGTCTCCGTGTGGACGGGGTCTAAAGCGCTAACAGGGTAAACACACATGTATAGGGGCGTATTGATTGCAGGTTGGAAAAGTACATTACAGTACCCATTGCCAGAAAAATGACAAAAGAGAATACTGGTTTTACTACTCCTGTTTCTAAATACAAGTTCATTAGTTGCTCTAGTTAATTCTCCCGTATGTGCAATTAAATAACCAGAGAAGAAGAAGTGATTGAGAGAACTCCAGTGAAAGCTTAAAGAAACCCATAAAAAAAACGAGACATCTCATCTTTACAGATTTGATTTACTTTGTTTTAGTGGAGTTAAAAGACTAATAATCAAATCAAAGATGTAGTGGAGTAGAAGTATTATGAAACATAAAATGGTAAATAAAGTTTATAGAAATACTCATTAAGTACAGAACTGTGTATTTCATTCATTCATTTTGTATTTAATTTGACTACAGGCGTGTTGTGTGGCTAACATGAGTCTAAGGATGACTAGCCCTTGCAAGCTCTGCATTGGTCCTGCAGAGGGCGCCACACTCCACTTTAAAAACACACGTGGTATTTAGACTGGTGATTCCCCTTTGGAAGTTTTCATGTTTTTTTTTACGAGTCTGAATGTTGAGATTTCCCAAATAGTATGAATTTTTTGGGGGGAAATCGACGGATTAGGAGAAAAAAAGTCAGACATTTTAATAAAGAAATGTAACTTTTGAAATGTTCATAAACATTTTTTGAATTTCTATATTGAAACATCTGCAGAAAAACACCCTTTAATGTCAGTAACAGCTCCTGATTGAACTCATTGTGTCTCTAAGGTGAATACACACACGCATTTTGCACTTTATATTTACAATTAATTTAATTCAGTCAGACAACTCACGTGTTTCTTTAAGATGTTTATTAGAAGCAGCACATAGTTGAGTTTGGCGTCTAGGCTCGAGGCCTCATCACTCCACAGATATGCATAGCTCCATGAATGATGATTAAATAATTAACCCCCGAAGCCTACAGGTGGAAGCTGGGGTGGTGGGGGGGCAGGCGAGCAGCAGCGACGTGGAAGTAGCTGCAGCAATAGCAGCAGCAAGCGATGCATGGAGAGATCTGGCAGGTTCAATAGAGCGGCACATTAAGGAGACTCTGTTTGGTTGGTTGTAGAGTGGCACGGGGCGTTATGTATGAATGCAGCATAAGTGCTCGAGTTGACTGCCTGAACGAGTTAATGCTGAGTTTATTCTAAGATGTGCAGAGAGAAACTCCCTCTGGAGGAACACAGGGATTTTAGCCTCTGCAGACCGTGGAGGCTGTGGCTCAGTGGATAGTGTGCTCAGTGGATAGTGGGCTGGACTTTGAATCAGGGGGTAGCAAGTTCGAGTCCCACTGCAGTCAGCATGTCGTTGTGTCACTGAGGCGCCGTTTACACGAGGAGAAAACTGCTTGTATCTGCATAGTTTCGCGTGCGTATAGCCCTATTATTTACACGAGGCTGATAGAAACTGACCCCACAAACGATAACGGGTCCCAAGGTGGATAGATTTGCAAACGAAACGCTCTGGGGGGTCAACCGAGTCCGTGTAATCACCTCTATACGAATATTTCCTGAAAAAATAACGATAGCCCCACCTTTCCCCACCTCTCCTGCTCACTGCTGGAGCATGGCCAGTAGCCATCTGTAACGATCAACTATCAAAAATAGCTGTGTTAATTAAACGCACAAGGGGTTCTTGAATGAAATAATATTATAAAAGGCAAACCAGAATTGTTAACGCCCAATATACTCCTTAAACAAAATAAACAGAGTCAGATTTCATGCATTGATCCATTATATTGACAAAGGTGCATCTCACCCGGTGTTTGTAGAGAATATCTCTCTTTCTGAGCCGTCCTCTCCACGGAGACGTGCTTCTTGGTCGGTCGATGCAATATCCACAGATTCGGTTTCTTTCAGTTAACTTCCCCGTTGCATTTATCCATATGCTGAGGAAATGACTATATCCCGCTGAATACCAGCAATCGCCACACACACTTCCTCCTGTCAGTAGCTACTGCTAGTGCTACTGCTACTGACCATGCTACAGATATTAGTGCAAAATCTACAGCTCCTCTACCACAACCATCAGCAACAAGTGGACATGGAGAATTACTGTACATGAACTACATGTTGCTAAATACACCGCGGGGCATAAACAGAAGGGTAGCCATGGCAACATTGCTGCGGGGCTCCTCCGGGCTGCTCTTCTTCGCTGCTTTTGGTGTATTTTGGCGGAAGTTACAGCGCCACTTACAGTCCCAGCATATGTACTACAGCGTTTCCAGCGGCCTCGTTTGAACAGACACGTTAAATGAAACGAATGCATGTGAACGGAAGACTTTTTTGAATACGCATACTGTGCATAAACGCAAACGTTCCCGTGTGAAGGAGGCCTGAGACACTTCACCCCAAATTGCTCCTGTGGGGATTGTCCACAGTATTGAGTTCACAGTATTCTTCCTCCGCAGGCTGAGGAGGTTCAAAATGGATTCCAGGATACTCTGCAACTTCTACAGGTGCACCATAGAGAGGATCCTGACCTTCTACAGGTGCACCATAGAGAGCATCCTGACCTTCTACAGGTGCACCATAGAGAGGATCCTGACCTTCTACAGGTGCACCATAGAGAGCATCCTGAACTTCTACAGGTGCACCATAGAGAGCATCCTGACCTTCTACAGGTGCACCATAGAGAGCATCCTCACCTTCTACAGGTGCACCATAGAGAGTATCCTGACCTTCTACAGGTGCACCATAGAGAGGATCCTGAACTTCTACAGGTGCACCATAGAGAGCATCCTCACCTTCTACAGGTGCACCATAGAGAGGATCCTGACCTTCTACAGGTGCACCATAGAGAGCATCCTGACCTTCTACAGGTGCACCATAGAGAGCATCCTGAACTTCTACAGGTGCACCATAGAGAGCATCCTCACCTTCTACAGGTGCACCATAGAGAGCATCCTGACCTTCT